TTTTCCCCATTTTGCTCGTGAGAGAACATGCTTGACGCGCCCCGCCCTCTTTTTATTATTTTTGCACACATCTCTGCCTTGTGGCTTTTGTTTTTCTGGGCCCCACAACGCCGTCTCCCCCCCCCCCCCCCCCCCAGTTTTATGTCTCCTTCCATTTACGTTCTGTTTCTCCTTGCTCGGCCTGCACGCGCTCCCCCCCACTCCCTCCTCCCCCCCCAGGCTTGTAAGCCCAATCACAGCGCAGAGGGCGGGGTTCAGTCTCTGCCCACCCACGTGGGCACGCTGGGCCAACCGGAGGACCAGTCCTGCTCGGCCAAGAGGAGGAGAGCCTCCAGCCCCTCCAAGGTAGATGCCACGGAGACGGCGGCTCGTAGTGGTCTCAGTCCTGCAGTGGAATCGGAGTGGCGTCCTTGGTTACATTTTGGTGGCATTTTTTTATTTTTACATGTTATGTTTTTTTCCAGGGCGACTCTTGGGTCAGTAATCCACCACAGCAGCCAGTTCCCAACTGGTACCTCTCCCCGCAGAAACTGCAGGTTGGTGAATTCTGTGATCTCATGGTTGACTCGGGTCGTCGTGGCGCTGGCTGCCCCATGTCCCAAGTCAGAGCGTCCCTGAGCAAGACGCTTAACCCCTAATTGCTCCCCGGGCAAAAAATTTAAAAAGCCATGGGTTAAAAATGCAATGTGAGTCGCTTTAGAAAAAAGCGTCAGCTAAATGACCTTTAATGTAACGTAAGTCTGACTTCTTCTCAAACTTTTCATCTGGTGTCTTGCCTTTTTTAAAGGCGCTGGAACAGTTGCGGAGTAACCGGGCCGGCCTGAAGCCCCCTCAGCTTCAGATGCTGACGCAACTAGAGGCTCAGTTCGCCATGATGCAGCAGCACCAGCACCAGGTAAAAGCTCCTGACGCCAGATTTAAATCCCAGCCGGAGATCCCACTGATGCATGCTGGGAAGTTACATCTGTTCTAGATGAACGAACCTGAGAGAGAGTGTGTGTGTGTGTGTGTGTGTGTGTGTGCGTGTGTGGTTGTCGTTCCTCTCCGCTCAGATGAGACAGAACGCCTCAGGAGGTCAGGCGCGCCCCTCGCTCCCCAATGGCCCCACCGCCAACTCCCTCCCCTCCCCCAGCCCCAGCCTGCACCTCGCACGGCCCCACCTGGGACCCCACCGGCCCCTCTGTCCGCCGCAGCCGCTGGCCAACGGGCCCGTGGGCCCCGGGCCACACGGACACTCAGACGCCGTCCCCGATGGCAGTAATCGTAGTAATAATCAGCCGGGCCCGCGGCCACGGGACCCAACGGAGACGTGCCTTACCTGCAACCGGCCGGCGGCGGCGGCGGCGACGCAGCACTGCTACCTCACACCTGCACAAGCGCGCAGACGCAGGACGCCGCGGCGGGCCAGGCCCGGACCTAAAACTCTCAGGTTGGAATCCCCCCCCCCGCCGTTTCTCTCCTGTCAGAGCCTTTAACCCTTTTTTAGTAAAAATGAATAAGTAAAAAAAGATAACCGGAAAGTTATCTGTGGCTTGGCTTAGAGATAGAAATCATTTTTTATCCTACTGACCTACTTTACTCCATCAAGTGGCGTCATTAAACAAGCTGTACCAAATCCCCCCCCACGTGACTGGAAGTGGAAGTATGTACTTCCCTGGTGCGGAGCCAAGATTTGTAAGCAGCACATGTGGGAATAGCAAAGGGTGGGGCTCGCACCTGTTGCTAGGTTACAGCAGCTCAGTGCACACAAGGATCAGCAGAATGTTGTGTGCATGGCAACCTGGTGAAATGCTTCCCCTGTGTAACCGTTGCTCTCCTCTCCCTCTAGGGGCTTCAAAAGGGGGGGGTCGTTCCCCATGCGACAGGCTCCGGCAGCGAGGGGACCCTCTCTCACCCCCAGACCCCGAACTCCTCCACGGCCCCCGCGCACCCCAACAATCAGGCTGGACATTCCACTGGTGCCCCGTCGCCGCGACAGCCGGCCCACAACCACCTCCCGTCGCCCCCCTCCCTGCCTCACCCCTCTACCTCAGGTGGAGCGGCACCCGGTGCGTCCGCTACCAAAGATAGCAGCGCGGGCGCCCCCGCCCAGGCGGCCGCGTCCCTCGGCGACGGGGGCTCCGAAGGGAAGTCGGCGCCGCCGAGGACGCCCGCGGACCACCTGGCCAATCACGTGCACTCGGGGGGCGACAAGGGGGCGGAGGGCGGCGAGAAGCCGAGCCTTAGCGCTGACAATCCTAGACTATCAGCCCTGCTGGCGGCGGGGAAGTGCTCCGTGGAGGACGCGGGGCCGTCACAGGGGACGGCGTCCGGCGGGGCGGAGCCCCACAAGAAGGTGAACAACGTCCACCCGGCCGCGCTGCCCTCCTCCACCCCCCACGCACAGGGCAGCTCGGCCGCCTCCTCGCCGATCTCTGCCATATCCACCGCCACGCCCTCGCCCAAATCCTCAGAACACACGCAAACCGGCGGCCACAGTCCCGCCGCCGCCACGTCCGCCGCGCCCGCCGTCAACGGCAACGGCAAGGGAGGCATCTCCGAGGACTCGCAGAGCCCGCTGAAGGCCGAACCGCCCGCCGCCGCCAGTCTCAAAGCTACCCCCCCGCACGGACACAGCTCCTCTTCCTCCTCCTCGTCCTCCTCGTCCTCAATATCCATCTACCCGAGCTCCACGGACGTGCTGAAGGCCTGCAGGTGAGACTCGGCCCCGCTTAGTTCCTCTCTCGACAGGAAGGGCGGCGTTGACCAGGAAGCTGTGGTGCCTTTTTTTTCTTCTTTTTGAAGCAGCCTGCACATCACTGATTGGAGAATCGCCGCCTGCGTTGGTCTCAATGTGCAGGAAGCCTGACGATGGGAGCGGCTCATTTAGTTAGAGATGCAGTTATGGCACGTTGCGTGCACGTGGATAGAAAAGAGCCCCATGCTGTTTTTTTCTTTTTCAAAATGTGATTGGCCCGACTTTTGGTGCCTAAAATGTGACGTGTCGTGGCAACGCTAGCTTTGAAGTTGCATCTGCCGGCGAGTTAAAAGGCTTCTGCTGTGTGTTCCATCGCAAACGAGCGAGGGATTGTTGTTTGTGTGGATGTCTCCTCCCAGTGGAATCTACGAGCAACTACAGCACCGAAGGAGAATCATTATGTAACTGTAAACAACAGCGAAGGCCACTGGGCAACTGTCTTGTTGCCGTGCAGACATTTATCACAAATCTTTTAGTGGAAAGTTTCTCCATTTGGTTGCATTGATTTGACATTTTCACATATTGTCAGTCAAGCAATCTTTTTATGATCCGACGTAGCTCTCAATTTGTTAATTTTCGCTCGTCAGTGGCTCCTGATATGATTCTGTGCTGCTCCTACTTAAAAGCATTGTGTGTGTGCGCAGAAACCTGGGGAGGAACGGTCTCTCCAACAGCAGCATCCTCCTTGATAAGTGCCCCCCGCCCCGGCTGCCCCCTCCACCCTCACCAGTCCTGCCCAAAGACAAGCTCAACCCTCCCACACCGAGCATCTATGTGAGTATCGTCCCGAGAGGCCTGAAAGCCCCCTGTTCCCCCCTTAAGCAGTTACTCCCTTTCGCCTTGACCTGATGAGTCTTGTTCCTTAAAGCAGGTGCTCATAGTGCTATATGATATCCTTTTTAACTTCCTGTTTCCTGTCTGTGGACCAGCTGGAGAACAAGAGGGACGCATTCTTCCCCCCCCTGCACCAGTTCTGCACAAACCCCTCCAACCCCGTCACGGTCATCAGAGGACTGGCCGGAGCACTGAAACTGGGTAACCTGCTTCGCCCGCTGCACCGGAGAGGCGCGCAGGTCTCGTGAGGTCTTGAGTTTTAACCCTCTCTGTGTTCCCCCCCTACCCTCCCCGGCAGATTTGGGTCTGTTCTCCACAAAGACGTTGGTGGAGGCGAACCCGGAGCACCTGGTGGAGGTCTGGACGCAGCTCTCGCAGCCTGCCGACGAGAACTGGGACCCGGCCGGCACCAAGAAGATGTGGCGCTGCGAAAGCGCCCGCGCCCACACCACCATCGCCAAGTACGCCCAGTACCAGGCCGCTTCCTTCCAGGAGTCCCTCCGGGTCAGTTCCCTCCGGATCGTGGCGAGTCACAATGTTCACTGGTGGCGCACAGCCGGCTTCATGTGTTTTCTGTTTGGTTTCAGGAGGAAAATGAGAAGAAGGCGTTAAAGGAGCCCTCGGACACAGAGCCAGCATCAGCAGAAAGGTTCCTCTCGTTTTATTTGTATCTTTTATTTGGTTCATTTAGACCCAATAAAAAATAACATCAGACGACGTAGCATGTGTGGCTAATTGCTCATTTCCTTTTTTGCACGGGCGTCACGCAGTGTCGCGCGCAAAAGACGGGGACCCTTGAAGCACATCAAGTTCGGAACCAACATCGACGTGTCGGACGAAAGGAAGTGAGTACGGATCTGCGTTTCATTGTGTTGTTCTGTTTTAAAGACGCTTCATAAACTCCTAATGTTTTTTTATGACAACTTGTCCCTCCCCCCACCTTCCCCGTCTCTCGTCCAGGTGGAAACAGCAGCTGCAGGAGCTCAGCAAACTGCCGGCCTTCGCCCGCGTGGTATCGGCCGGTAACCTGCTGAGCCACGTGGGTCACACCATCCTGGGCATGAACACCGTGCAGCTCTACATGAAGGTCCCCGGCAGCCGGATAGCAGGTCAGCCCCCCCCCCCCATCCGGCCCGCCTCTACGGGTCATCGCCCCCCTGCTTGGTTTGCTAGTGCGCTGAAGAGGTTTGATTGTCCCCCTCCAGGTCACCAGGAGCACAACAACTTCTGTGCCGTGAACATCAACATCGGGCCGGGGGACTGCGAGTGGTTCGCCGTGCCGGAGCCCTACTGGGGGGTGATGAGCAACTTCTGTGAAAAGTAAGACGGGACGGGACGCGCTGAAGCGGCTTAAATCACCGCCCCTCTTCCTGTATTCATCCCAACTGTCTCTGTCTTCCACCCCCCCACCCACACACACATACACAGGAACAACATCAACTTCCTGATGGGCTCGTGGTGGCCCAACCTGGAGGACCTGTACGAGGCCGACGTGCCCGTCTACCGGTTCATCCAGCGGCCGGGCGACCTGGTGTGGCTGAACACCGGCACCGTCCACTGGGTGCAGGCCATCGGGTGGTGCAACAACATCGCCTGGAACGTGGGACCTCTCACCGGTGAGCCCGGCGTTTACGGGATCATCATGTGACATGCGAGCGGCCGCAGTTCTTACTATCGTCGTAAGATGGAATGAACTTTTTCTTTTTTCCTTTCAGCCCACCAGTACAAGCTGGCTGTGGAGCGCTACGAGTGGAACAAGCTCCAGAGCGTCAAGTCCATGGTTCCCATGGTGCACCTCTCCTGGAACATGGCGCGCAACATCAAAGTGTCCGACCACAAGCTGTTCGAGATGATCAAGTGAGTCGCCGGGTTCGCTCGCTGGTTTGTTCTGGGTCTTATGAGCCGGATGTGAACCTTTCCGACGCCTCGCCGCAGGTACTGTCTGCTGCGGACGTTGAAGCAGTGCCAGTGGGTGAAGGAGGCCCTGGTGTCGGCGGGCAAGGAGACGGTGCTGAGGCCGAGGACCCGGGACGAGCCGGCCCACTACTGCACCATCTGCGAGGTCGGTAACCAGGCGGGGTGTGTGCGTGTCGACGGGGGGGGTTGTGTCGGTCTGAATCCAACAAATTTGAGGCTCAAGATTAAATTAAGAATGAACTGCGGGTAAACAAAAGCCCCCCCTTTTGGTTTGAGCTAATTAGCGGGCACGCTAATGTGTTTAATTTGAATGCTTGGCTCTCGGCCGAAACGTGTCCGTATCCACTTAAATGGTGTCCTAGAAATGGCTCCGTTATTCACCGTCTGTGGAGCAGCTCCGGGTATCTGTCTCTAGATGACATCATCACTCAAGTCTCTGGGTAAAAGCTCAGTAACCACACAATCTGTCTGTGTGTGTGTGTGTGTGTGTGGGGGGGTCGACAGGTGGAGGTGTTCAACCTACTGTTTGTGCGCCGCGAGCTCCTGTCCAAGAAGCAGCATGTGGTCCACTGCCAGGACTGCGCCCGGAAAGGCAGCGCCGCACTGGACAACTTCGTGGTGCTGGAGCAGCACAGGATGGAGGACCTGATGCAGGTCTACGACCAGTTCACTTTAGTAAGTCAGCAGATGTGAGGGAGGGAGGAGGGGGTGATTTATCTACCTCTGTCAAGTCAACATAAAAAAGTAAAGTTCTTGTTGAAAGTGATCTATATTGCTCTTGTGTGTCCTCTTCCTCCCCAGGCTCCTCCTCTTCACTCCTCTTCGTCTTGACATTAGGTGACGCCCCTTTCTTCGTCTTCTGCCGTGGAGCTGCGGGGACTTGTGTCGAGAATGAAAATGAAAACGCGGACCATTTCTGATATTCAGGAAAGCCGAGGCTGTCTCCCCGACCCCCACCCACCCATTACGGCTGGTCTCCATAGCGACGGCCGGAGGCTGAGGCGGCCAGTGTGTGTCTATGCAACCTGTTTTTGATGTGCTGGGGCCCGGTCTTTCCAGAGGGGGGCGCCAACAGGACTCGTTTATCCCTCCCCCCCCTCTAGGGACAATGGTTCAGGCCTGTTTTAATGAAGGACTTTATCAAAAAGGGTTGGGAACGGGTGGGATTCTTAATGCGTGATTAAAATTGTTTTGTAGATACTTGTTAACTGTCACAACTGGCAACACCACCCTTAAAAGACTACTGACTTGACAAGCTTTCTTCCTCTCTCTTTCTCTCCATCTTTGTTTTCTATTCTGGTAACAGGATGAAATGTTGGCTTTGATTTTATAGAATTTCCCCAAAAATGATGTTTTTCCCTCTAAAGGAGCACTAGCCTAACTGGTCTTTTTCTATGGTAGATAGTAATTTAAGACTCTTTGGACAGCAAAATCTCCCCCAAAAAATGTGTAATTTCTTTCTTTCTTCCTTTTTTTTCACAGCATTTTTTTCTTGTTCTTTTCAAATGATGTTCTGTTTGTTTCTAGATTTAAAAAAAAGAGAAAAATGTAGGGGAAAACAACTTACTAGCCAAGTCACAGAGAATGGGTTGCACATAGACTTATGGAAAAAAGTTTAATTTGTGATTTGTTATGTTTCTAATCTTGATGTAAATTTACACTATTTATAAATACATATTTATTGCTTGAAATTATTTGTTGATGGAATGCTGTTATTTTTTTCCAGAGTACCTGCCATTAAATTTGAAGGGGTTTTGTCATTTTAACTCAACTCTTCTTACATTTTCTATATATAAATAAAATTGCTTAGCAAGCATTGTACAGAAACGGACATTTAAAAATTGTTTTATTGTTTGAAGAATGTTTTATGATGAGTCAATAAACACAACGTTGTCAAATGATCCATGCTTTTCAGTTCCTTAAACATACCATCCTTAAACCATCTTTTCATTATGCTTTGCCGTCATTTACACGGGTGAGACAAACCATAGAAGTGCTTTCCGAATAAAGGCATTGGTGTGTGTGTGTGTGTGTGAGTGAGGGCCTGAAACCCAGCAGACAATGTAGCTGTAGATTGACACACACAGAATCCTACACTGAATGCCAGGTCCAGAACACACTCTGCTTTTAAAAGTGTCACGCATGTTATCAAACTGTGAACAACGAAAGGAAACCGCTGTTAAATAAAGAATAAAGAAAAATAGGTCTGAAAATACTAGTGTTCGAAAGCCTTTTGTGTGCTCTGAATGACACGCCTGCCGGCAGAGACCCAGTAGCCAGATGTAGCTGCTGCCAGCCGCACAGGATCTACACTGACTACTGAGCACCCGCGGGGCCGACCCGAGGATGCACGGCGCTCCACAAATGACCCTCCCTGCGACGTCACGGGATTGCATCTGAAGCCGTCGCCGATGGAAACGGACGGAGGAGGATGAGGTTGCTCCGCCAAATCTTTGTCACGCAAAAAAAACGTGCAGGTGACGTATTACCAAGCGGTTGAAAGAGCGTCGTCCCGTACGATGGCTCGCTGCTAGCAATGTTAAATACACACAATCTGCGCTTGGAAGAAAGACTTTGTGGTTTAACTAACGAATACTCGCTAAACGGCAACATGTTAATAGGTTATGAAGCTTTACGGCCATTGGCCTCCTCATCTCCTTGTTTGCCTTTCCGAGTCTGCAGTCCCTTCGCCGAAACCAAGATGGCCGTCTGTTGCGGCGACCATTTTGGCTGCCACAGATGGACGCTTCCTCCGCCTCTCCCGGAGTGTCCGTCTGTTGTTTGAGGCTTGAGGGTCCATTGGGAGTCCTGAAAAAGAAAGACATCGGAGGAGGTGAGAATCTGTTCTGTCACGACGCACGATGAAAAGAAGGCCGAGATAAGAAAGTCCGGGGCAACGAATCAAACAGTTTCGGTTGAACATTTGATGGCAGAGGCTAGATGTGCGCTGCCATACTGCTGACGTTGTCTTCCTGTGATACTCAGAGGAACCAAACCAAGCGGGGGCTCTAGAAAAAGGGTGATTCCTGGAAACGAGATGCCAGTTTCAGAACAGGAAGTCTTCATCAGTCAAAAAAGATCAAGACTTCCCGTTTGCTGTTTGAAACGACAAAGACCGGAAACTTGAGTTCTGCAATACGGTGACAAAAGCGTTGTATGTTAAGGTGGGTGGGAGGGGGGAGGGCGGGGGGCGGGGGGGGATTTGTGTATGTATCTTGGGCTAAAACTCACACTCCCAGGTGTTCAATGGGTCCAAAAAGTCAGACTGGACCAGTTAACCCCCCTCCCCCTGTAAATCTCCCACCTATATCCTCGATAGGTACAGAGGTATGTGAACTCTGCTGGGCCGGGGGACCCCCCCCCCTCCAAATCCAGACCTCCTAACAATGTCTCCCTGTGTCGCAGTGGGGGAAGAAAAGGAGCGAGAAGGAGTTAAACCAGCAGTGTGTGATCCAATGCCCCCCACACTTCGCCCCCCCCCTCCTTCCTTCCTGTTCCCTCCGTCTCTGCCCCTCGCTGCTCTGGCGTTTCCGCCTTTGTGAGAAACAGACAGGTGGCCATGACTGCTAATTTAAACCCGGTCCGATTGTCTCTGCCAGCGTTTCCCACAACTATGTATGGATGGCTGCAATAAACCAAGTAGGTCAGTGTGTGAGACTCACACACACACACACACACACACACACACACACACACACACACACACACACACGCTGGGCCCTGACCTCTAAAAATGTCCGACTTGTCCGTTCCAACGTTGCTACGAGTGATCCTCCCTGATTGGCTGTGACCTTCAGCCAATAGCAGGGCTTCCTGCCGCCCATTCATAAAACCCCGGATCATTGAGGATAATGTCGCTTCAAGTCAAGAGACGGTTTTAAGTTACAAATTAGTATGAAAAGTGGATTCATGTCACATAAATATGGATTAAAAAAAGACAAAAATAATAAACTGATGTGATCCTATAAAATCAATCTGTTTATTGTTATAATGAAAAATCCTGCTTTTTGTTTAAAAATGTAATTCAATCTACATTGGTGGAATTTCAGGGGAAATTGAATCCTTCACGTTGGAAGTTGTAGAAGTGTCCTTGAAAGTCTCACTCCATGACACAACATTCCTGTGTGTTTAATGAGTTATGGGCCAGGAGGGCCCCTCAGGGCCGGGACAATTTCCCCCTTTTTTTTGTTTTTTTTTTGTTTTCTCAGGCTGTCGCTCTTACTCCGTCCCTCCGCGTCGTTCAAAGGCGCAAACACACACAACTTGATTCCACTCCAGTGTTGTTTTGTCCCCCCCTGAAATTACAACCTCTGCTGGTTTTCTGATGGTTTTCAGTGCGCCGCCCCGCCCCCAACTCGCTCTCCTCCCCGAGGCCCACGTTGTTATAAAAACGTGTTCCATTGAGTCACTTACATGGAGTTCTAATGTGTGACATCCACAGCACAGACCTTTAGCTGGGAGGGAAGAAATGTGTGTGTGGGGGGGGTCACTCATTCACACGAGCTGAATGGAACCTTTTAGAATGACTTCATGAAACGTCCCCATTGAGCAAACTATTTGTACCGCTAATCAATTAATAATTCAGCCTATATGGTGAAAAATGGAATACAAGGAAAGGAAGGAAGTGATGCCTGGGCCTCTTTGTCTTTGTTACATTAACAAAAGAAAACTTGAAAAGTAGAAGTTATTTTTTTCAAACACTAAATTCTACTAAAACTAAGTAATCGCTACTAAAACAGCAACGTTGAAGTTACATTTGTGGAAGTAAAAAGATTATATAAGAGTGTTGAAGGGGAGCTGAACAACATTTCCACACAAAATAATGCCCTGGGAATCGTGTTACATCCCAGATTGAGGATGAACGACTATCTTATTGCACTATTATTGTATTATTTTTTCTCCTTTCAGAATGACAAAATTAAACTCATATTTTTATGCACATTCGGTGCAATTTGGGGCTGAATGTTGATTGCTTAGCTGCAGGATCGTAACCCGTCCGCTCAACAGTACAATCTGTCGCCTCGGTGGCATGATGTGATTTGAAGCATGTTTGCAATAGGCTATCCAAGATAAAGGAGGGGGGGGGGGTGCTACCCATTGCCATGGAAACGGAGAGTAATTAGCACAGAGTGCTGTTCAGAGAAAAAAGCCGAGAGCGAGAGGCAGCGTGATTTTTTTTGTCTGCGTGTGGGATGTTGGCCTGCTTTCAGGAGAGGAGGAAGAGGAGGAGGAGACGAAGGCACGGCCTTGCAGGTTTCAGGTGTAAAGACAACAGGCGGCCTCCGTGGCGACTGAATCGTTCATGGTGATTTTGGTTTAAGAAAGGAGAAATGGGGCACAAAGAAGGGACGCAAACACACACCTTTAGTGAAAAGGCGTTTTGTCTCGTATTATTTGCAGCCGACCAGGTGGAAGCTACGTTCAGAGTAAACCGCCTGAAAGGCCTTGGCTGCACTCACTGTTACAATTTTCGATGAAAGATGGAAACAACAGAGCTCGTCACTGATTGGCTCCTTGGCTCACTTGCATCGTTCACGACGGATGATCATGTGTTGTTGTTTTTTTACATTTGTGTGATCTTCATTTTCAAAAACGTTAATCCATGAGTGGCTCAGGGCGATGCTGTTTACTGCGACTACCCTGCTTTAAATGCAGACATTCTGACTGGAAGCTATGGGTTCAACGCCTTGCTCAATGGCCCACAAAAGTACACCCCCCCTCCCCTCTTCATACAGCTGACAGTACCGCTCACAATTTGCCGCCGTCCTTCCGCCATGAAGAGACTCCCCTATCACTCTTTTTTTGTGACGCGGCTAATGGCAGCCATGGAGCCCACGGGCGCGAACATACTAAGAACAATTATGCAGATGTGCGCTGAAACCACTTTGCCGGTATAATCCAACAATCAGTCCATTATAGAAATTGTCATTAGTGAGTGGGCGATTACAGCTTCGACAGAGATGCTGAAGAACAGGGAGAGCGCCACTGGTTTTATGCAAATGTCGCAGAGCCCTTTTTATGATGTCAGATGCAATGTGACTGTATTTCGGTAGTTAACACAGTGTGTGTGTGTGTGTGGGTGACCACCTGTTGGTTCACAGACGGGAGAAATTTCAGGCTTTTAAATGACTGCACAAATGAATTGTGGAAGAGGCGGGGTCAGAAAAGGGGCGGGTTGAGTAGTTTAGGCGTGGTTAGGAGTTTTTAGCAGAGCAGGGAAAGGTCTTAGTTCTTTTCTTGCACAATATGCTGTGAAAAAGATTGAGAAGGGCTTTCAAAATAGTTAAATTGAGGGTTACTTGCGTTATAAAAAGGTGCATTCAGGTGCATTTGTTTGCAATTTTACAATAATTACCATCCAGCGAACCAGACAGATAACCCATTACCTTTCAGAGCGGATTGGCCTTGGCCCAAACCTCCGTGCTGTTCAAGCGCCCTTCTTGCTCTAAAATAGATTGAGTGTTTTATTTGCATTAGATGAATGTTGTGGCTCCGATTAAAGTTTTTAAAGTTTATAGTATGGCCATTGTATTTTGTCATTGAGACTTTTTTCGGTAACTCAATCACACCAATCAGAGCGGAGGTCATCTGACCACTTTGTACAATTGTAATGCATCCGCTGGGGGCTGAAGGGTGTCATGTGAGGAGGCAACATGTCAGCAGCTCCAATAATGTTGTTAACTTACAGAGGAAGGCGAGGAATGTATCCTAAACTCAACCCTAGTCAACTCCTCCTCCTCCTCCTCTTCCCCTTTAGTCATGGGTTCTCTGCTGGGTGTTCGCATACTAAAAACACAGGAATGTCGCCCCCTTCCCCCATAGCTATCGAGCAGACCAGAAACTATGGGATTTCTTCCATGTAAACTAGAAGCATGCACTTCTTGTGAAAAAACCCTCAAATGTGACAGAGTGAAATATGTCATACCTGCAATATTAGCCTGCAAACTTTTACTTTTGCAAAATGAAGACAAAGCACAGGGAATAGTAACAGAATTCTGCATCGAAGATGAATGATTGTAAAATATCATTTGATTAACACAACACAATTGTGACTGGGAAGTTCACGCTTTTCAATTGAGTTTATGTGTTGTTTTTCTTTTCTTGTGTTATGGCACACTAATAATTGTTTTTTCATAAACAGACGGCAATAACTCTTTCTGGCAAAACGGGAAAAAAAATCAGCGTTTTTTTGCGTCACCATTGCAAGTGACCCTTATTTTGTATTAGGTAACCGGAAGTCTAGGTTTTTTTTCGCAACTCCGTCGCAGCGGTTCGCAGAGCGGCGACACGAGCGGTTCCCAAACTGCCCTTAATGTGAAAAAAAAACGCAGAGAAAACACGGCGGGCGCATTCCTGAGACGCAGAGACAACCATGCCCGACCGGGACAGGGCGCGTGCGCGTTTAAGAAAGAGTGCGGGTATAGGGGCGCGAAACCCGTGCGTCCCTGCGGGGGGGGAGAGCTTGGAGACCCCCCCTTTTGCGCATTCCCCCCCCCCCCCCCCCCCACACGCGCACACACACACACAGACACACACACACACACACGGGAACGAGCAGCACACTTGGTCCTCAAAGTGGCAAAACATTTAAACTTACAGGAAAACAAAACGGATTGTTGATGCATTGAACATTGAATATGCGGCTTATGTTTTTTATAAAATAAAAGAGTTTTGTGCGTAAAATATCCCCATTCAGGCAAGTGGAGAGACTCAAATGTGCTCCCCGGGAAGCCCCGCATGGCCAGAGAAAAGCATAACTGCGATGGTGAGGTGGACTTTGGTCAAAGTGAGCGTTTATGAACCACAGTCGCCTTGAAGAAAAAATTCCGTACTCTTTTTTTTTTTTTTTTTTTACGTTTTCCAGTCCGATCACACGCCGCGTTGCGCAATCCGCATGGATCGACTATGGAATCAGCGGAATTGTGCCGCTGAACGAGAAAACGAAAAAGTCTTTTCAATTTTCCCGTTTCTCCGACAACGAAAGACCGAGACTCGGGGGTGGGAAGTTCTTAAAGCCCACCGGGAGATAAAGTGCCAAAAAAGTGGCTCCACTTACCGTGGCTGCGTCTTGCTGGCCGCATGTCCCCATGAGAGTGTTGCGTGAGAGAGTGTGTGCGCGTGTGTGTGTTTGTGTCTGTGTGTGTGTGCGCGCCGGAGACGCATTCCGACGACTGTGGTCGGAAGCGCAGCGCGACGCGTCAACGCGCGTTGCCTCCATATCATAAAGGGGATTCTTCAGCTGCTGCCTGGGCTCATTGGTGCGCAACCCGCGGCCCGGGGACCTCCGTGGGGGCCCCGACGCGGCAGATCGAGAAATGTAAAACAAGACGCACGAGCGGTTCAAGGTGATCGCCTGATCCCGGCTTCTGATGGGACTCCGGAGGTTAAGTCCAGATGCCATGAGACAAGTTTGATATTGGTCTTCTGTGCGCGAGCTTCGGTCTCTGGATTAAAAAAGCAAACTTGTGGAAATGTCATTTATGCATTGCTTTTTTGCAGATGCACCTGTAGTGGTTACTTTACTTTGCCCCAGCCGATCCGATAAGATCTACAGCCTGCCTCTCATCTATGGGAGACAGCTCAGATTGTGAGTCCGTCGGTGCTTCCCCACCCGCAACAATATCCGAATTCAATGTAATAATAACTATGTTAAGGTCCAACTGTGAACATGCGATACAATGTGATACATTAAGTCGTCCTAACTTGAGTAATACTACCCGGTCTGTGGCGATCACGCACAATGACGCTGCTACGCGCCGGTTTATTCGGGATGTGATGGAACAGGTCAGTCCGCCAACCCCTCCTGCCACATCACGCCCGTCTGACGTTTCACAAAACACCGAAACGCCAATTCACGCGCACAGACACGCCGAATTAAGTCCTCTCCTTATCCTCGCGAAGTTGAACATGCAAGCAAGTCTGCGTGAGACCCCCCCCCCCCGCCACACCACCACCCTTACACCTTCTCTAACACGCGCTCCCACGTGCACACCGTCTGAATGAATCCTGCAGCAGCAGCAGGAGCGCGCTGCCGCTTTTAATTGAGCCGATAAACGGAGCGAGCGGTTTGGTCTGCGATGGAAAGGCGAGCTCGTGGAGATTCGTTCCTCCTGCTGCTGTCTGCTGCACCACGGAGACAAACACGGGGCATCTCTCCCCCCTCTCTCTCCCTCTCTCTCTCTGTCAGTCTCTCTCTCTCTCTGCAGTGGTTCAACACCGAAGCATGGGCAACGCGAGAGACATGCAGACAGGCATACAAATGGGCATCCAGGCACATGCATGGCGCGTAGAAAACAGAAACATCAAGTGCTTACCAGCGGGGTTCCTCCAGACTGTTGCCCCCTCCCCCACCCCATCTCCCCCACCCACCCGGGGGGGCAACCCCAAACACTGGGATCTACCGCTTTAATTCTCCCCCATCTATCTCTTCACACACTCGTGTCTGTCTTTCTTCCGACACTATTGCCCCCCCACCACCCTCCCTCATCTTCTACTCCCGTTCTGTGATGCTGCATCCACACCGGACCCCCGGTATCCTCCTCTCCATCACTCCCTCTCTTCTCCAGCGGTCTCTACACTGATCTTTTAAGTCTACCGTTCTCTCCACTGATCAATGGGCAGCCTGCGAAGCGAGCTCTCCTGCCTCCACCTCCCCCAGCTTTCTGTGTGTGTGTGAGTGTGTGTGTGTGTGTGTGTGTGTGCGTTTTGCTGCGAGGAGAGGAGGCTTCCAACCCACACACACCGCTCTCCAGAGCTCTCAGCCTCCACAGTGCCTCATCGGTTGACCACTCCACACCCCTACGCATCAATTGTGTGCACACCTACACGCAGAGTGTAGGGCCATTAAAAGCTGAGCACATATTTCCCTGTCACCTGAAGTAGATTTTTTTTTTTTTTTTTAAGGGGCCGGAGGTCTTGAGAACGGATCGGCAAAGCCACCTCGGGAAAAGCCACCTGGTTAGTGGCCGGGAATCGGCACACTTAGTGGTCGAACGGGTAGCTTGAGGCCATGCGGGCAACTTCCGTATGAGGGGCGCCATTGTTTGGTATTCCTTCCTAACAAACGTGTAGGATTGAATTTGGACATTACTGTCGGTGGTATCTTATAAGCACCGATCCATCTCGTGACCCTCACAGACAGCTCTGAGACGTCTCTCTCAAACGAGATGTATTAAAGTTCTCATCGGTTGCCATCAGTGTAGCAGAACAGCCAAAGCCGGGAAGAAAAACAGACATCAGGGATTAGAAGTGAAAAACAGCCACAGAAGTGGCTCCATCGTCGCAATACCGATGCCAATTTCAAATGAAGAGAATCTGCACCCTGCACTGCAACGGGGTTATAAATACAGAGCTAAAATCATCCTGCACTTCCCTGCTGTGTGAGGGAGAGAAGCCGTCAGATAAGAATAAACGAAGGCGGTTCGACGGTGCCCATCATCAGGGGATAAATCTAACGACAGCAGAAGAGGCAACGATCTGAGGCCCGTCGAGGGGCCCACCTGGACCGAACGTCGGCAAGCTTCCCTGCATGTGAGAGCTGTGAGACGCAAGGGTAAAAAACAAAAAAAGATGTTTTCGCTAATGTTGTTTTTTTAACGTATAAGTTGAACATTTCGTGCGTGCAGCCAATGTGAGAAGACTTGGGTAGCTGAGCGGTGATTGGCACCACGGCAGAAAGCAGAGGAAGGCTGATTGACAGGGGACAGATGCCCCAGCATTGGGTATTAAGAGAGAAAATGAGCTTCGGGCTACTTTTAATACAGAAATGATGCTCATAATGCTATGGAACGTTGGAGGCCCCGCCTCAAGTAGGGACTTTAAAAAAAATTGTAACCAGGACCGTCATCTTACCCAAACCTTAATGTATCCCATAATTTGTTCTTTGCAGGCAGTGGTTCACTCGAGGGGGCTCCGGACCCGCTTCATTTATAAACTGGCAGAGTCTGTAATGCTCTGTGGAAGCGTTCCAAACTAATATGGCTCATCTTGAAAACTGAGCTTATACGGTTGAGGGGTTGTTTCATTATGGAGAAGAGAAATGTGGTGAGGACGGGTTGGACCTGCAAACAAAACAAATCCGCTGCCTCCTCAAACCTTCAACAGTCGATTAATCCAACGTATGACCTCGCTAGTCAGGAAAATATATATAGTTCCGTATGCATAATTAGTTGCGTGCTTCTGTTTTAATGCAAAGAGAGGCTGTGATTTTGGACAAACAGGACTTCTTCAGACTTTTGGGATTTCCAAATGATGTGATTTTCCAACGTTAGCCTGCTCCAAGTACGGTACTTTGGGTATTTCCATTTGCTGCTTCATACTTCCACCTCATCCCAAATCAGAGGCACACGTTCCACTTCTTTAATCACACTAAATGAATGTTAAAAATGTGAGTTCGGATAGATTATTAATATAAAATATACCAATAAATGATGATGTAATATTGTGGATTTAGCTACCGAGCAGTTTATTAAGTAGTTTAAATTAGTTTCACATTCACAAGCTGCAACCTTAAACCTTTACTTTTCATACTGTGAATATACTTTGAAGCTCGCTCAAGTAAGATCTGAGTACTTTTTCCACCACTGTTGGTTTCATTATCTCTTTGAAAGCATGTGAATGAACTGCCACTGCTTTCATTTATGAGCCCATGTTTGTCTCTCCGGCATAAAAGCTCACAAGACCATAGTTAATGATCCCAAAAATAACACATGTTGCTTTACATATCTGCTCGGCTCATTGACTCAGACGCAGGAAGACGTTTTTTTTCTGCACGGATATGACCTGGTATCCTGTGTGCGTGTAAAAGCACTTATTTAGCCGCGGCGTAGCAGAGGTGGTTCTGTAAGCCGCCTGTCTGAGCCCAATTCATTTACATAGGTAATGGTAGGGGTAGCGCTCAAAAAAATGTGCGGGGGTGGAAAATATACAATGCTCCACCAGCATACAAAAACAACCAGAGAGGGAGAGGAGGAAGAAACACAGAGGGGGGAGATGAAGGTGTCAGGCTCCTGAAGCACTCTAAAATGAGGGGTAATTACATTTCAAATTACCGATGGGAACAAGAGCGAACTCCCTGACTTTGGTCCGCAGGGGAAGTGCATTAAGGGCACTGGAATCAGCGGGCAACGTGTAATTTCTACAACTCACGTTGAGGCCCCTCTCATTTGCATAGCCGAAAAACATCAGCTTCCAGGGCCACCACTCAACAATAAAGCGGATTTGTTTTGCATCTCGTTTTAAGGTTACTCCCCAAAACGCATTACGCAATTTCATTTTGAGTGATTTTTTTGTTCTAAATTTCCAAAGCTTTTCAAAGCTGCACTACACAATTTATTTTTTTTCTCCCTTTTTACATGAAAACACACCTGTCTTTTTAGGCCAAACTTGTTTTTTTTTCTCCAGCATTCATGCGTTTATTTAAATAAATGTGGAACCAGCGCTCTTCTTTCAATCTCCTTCGTCTTTGCCGGTATACAGCTGCATTTCTTTATGGTGGCACCAATAATCATCTATATACGGGCCCTAACTCTGAATCTCCACTTTGATGAAGCTCACAATGTGTTTGCTAACAGGGTACTTGTAAAACAGGTCATCGTCTGCATCTTTCAACTCAACGTTCTGGCGTCTCAGAGATCTTTCCAGGCTCAAAGCATGTGTGTGTGTGTGTGTGTGTGTTTGAGAGAGAATACACAGCGTGCAGCAACACAGTGAAAAAGAAATACCTTGCTTGTTCTAACAAGGTGAACAGTAATTATGTCAATCAAAATATATCCAAAATGATATCCATTAAGCAGAGCTATTATTAGCAGTTTACAGTTGTGCTCTGCACCCAAACAGGAAATAACCACAAAACCACTAAATCTGTGCAATCATGTCAACCGAAGCGACAAAGATTTAACCCATCCATCCATCGTCAAACCGCTTATCCTGCACACAGGGTTGCGGGGGGGCTGGAGTCCATCCCAGCCAACTTCGGGCGATAGACAGGGTACATCCTGGATTGGTCGCCAGCCAATCGCAGGGCTACACAGAGACATACAACCATTCTCACTCACATTCACACATCTACGGGCAATTTAAAGTCCCCAATCAACCTGATCCCCAGAACATGTCTTTGGACTGTGGGAGGAAGCCGGAGAACCCGGAGAGAACCCACACAGACACGGGGAGAACATGCAGACTCCACACAGAAAGGCCACTGGGCGGAATCGAATCCAGGACCTTCTCGCTGTGAGGCAACAGTGCTAACCGTACGTAACGTAGTTAAACAACTGCTGGAATGGAATGTGATCGCTGAGTCGGCGACACAATGTCATCTTTCATTTTTCCAGCAAGGAGTTTAGCAACTGCCGGAATGTCAACGCTGAGTGGGAGATGCAATTTCTTCCAGTAACTGTAATATTGCACGGCCGCTCGTCTCCTCGGCCTTTGTCGCCGTCTTGGTCGGATTACTGCTGTCATTTCACCAGGAGGCATATGCGAGGAAACCCGCATTACCTGCTTTCAAGAAGCGAGAGAGAATTTTCACCGCACAAAGGAGGCGCGCTTCCACAGACGGCTTCTGTACATACCGCAGAATTAACAATTAAGGGCACTTTACGCATCCCTTCCCATCTCTTTATGGGGGAACTCCTACTTTGTCCTTGACCCTCCTGTGAATGCATATGCATGACACGGGAAAGTGCAATTTGCCATTTTTCAGTTTCCGCGACTTCAGTGTGGCACGTTTGTAAAAACCTCACCAGGCTTTTACGCGCTCATTGCGAGAAAAATGTGCCTGAAGTGGCCGCAAAAGCGTTACTACACGAGGCCCTGGAAGTTCAACGCAATGGAGATCTAAATAATCAAAGACAATTGGCCCGTGGCCTTTTGGGGGGGGGTCGCGTTGTTCTCTGCATGTGTTTCTATACAGTTTCTATACAGTCAGAGGTATAGAGA